TTTTGTTAAAAAAAAATTCGATCAGGATTTATTTGATTTAAAATATTTTAAGTTTGACTAACTTAGTCTTTATCTTAAAAATCCATGCTTTGCGGTCCGGACGACCCTTGATTAAATATCTACGATATTCGGAAAATGTTGTCCATTCTTTAAGAATTCCACGATATTCGGCCAGTACGCTCATTTTTCGGTCAAGATGAATTTCTCCAAAAAAAATCCACGAATTTCAGGTGACCTCTTCGGAATATCATTTTCTCAAAAACCACAATTGTCAGAAAGGAGGTTCTTTTCATAAAAAACCAAGGTATTTGGTCAGAAGGTCCTTTTCTGTAAGAATTTCAATCGAAAGATATTTTTATAAAAAGAAAATTTTCAGTCCGGAGGTCCTTTTTTAAAATAAATGATTTACTTGTGTGAAAACTCTACTATTTTCGGCCAAGATTGTTTTTTGCAAAATCGGTGATTTTCTTTTTGTCTGGTTCCTTTTTATAACCTCCACCATAGTATGGTGGGTATATTAAGTCTGTCACGAAGTAGGTTTTTTGGTATTGAAAATGGGCCATGTAGGTCCATGTTTTGGTATAGGCCCCATATAACGGTACCTCCCCATATTCGGTATTTTGATGATTTTTGCAACATTATTCACCGGAATTTGGGATTTGGAATTTGGTTTTGGTATAGCCCCCTTATAATGGAACCTCCCTATATACGATATTTTGATGATTTTAGCTACATTATTCACCGATTTATGTCAAGTTCGCCTTGGACTATTGTAATCGCTTATGACAAAAGTAGCCTATACAGGTCCACGGCTTCGTATAGATCCTAATATAATAGCTACATTCGGTATTTTTTAGATTTTAACAGAATTTTAAACGGATTTTATTTATTTATTATTATTATTTTATTTATTTTTTATTTTTTTGAAAATTGTCAAATTTGTTCCATATGGTGGAGGGTATCCAAAGTTCGACCCGGCCGAATTTATAGCTGTTTTACTTGTTAATTCATGATTTTTTTGTCACGATGCTTTTTCTTGAAAACCCAGTGTTTTAGGTCAGGAGTCTTAAAAATCCACGATTTTTTTAAAAGTCCCCTCTTTTCAATCAGAATGTCCCTTTCTGAAAACTCTTTTGGCTAGAAAATTATTTTCTTAAAAATCTATGATTTTAAGTCAGGGAACATTTTTCGTAAAAATCTAGACCAGAAGCAGTCAGGACTTCCTTGAAATCAAGCATTTTCTAAATCCGCAATTTATATAAAGCGGAAAGTTCTTCAAAATATTTTTTTCAAAGCCCAGAATTGCCACTCTTTTTAAATCCACTATTCTTACCAAGGGTTCTTGATATTTTTTTTTTATATCGACGATTTATCCTTTTCCAATGTCGTTACAAGATATCTCATGAAAGTCCTTAAAAATCGAACGATTTGTGAACAAGAAGTCCTTATGAACATATTCTTAAAAAGAAAAACTATGATATCTATTTTAGAAACACAAAAATTGCACGAAATCGCAAACTTCGCCTGCATTATACAAGATTCCACAATTTGACTCTTTGAAGAGGGATGATAAAAAATATATATTAATTACAGGACAGTGATTATTATTACAGGACAATGATCGATTTTAAGTTGTTTTAATGTCCTCATCCTATTCTTTCACAGAAGGCTGTAATTAAAAATTTGAAACTTTAGCGAGTGGAAAGCATTATATTGAAAATTTACAAAATTAAAATTTTGGACCAGTAAGAGAGTTAAATTTGAAAGTTCACTTTCGTTTTTACTATACCATCAATGCTTACAAATTATTATAAAGTTAAAGTTATTTCGTATTAAAAATTTACTTCAATAAAATTTCATAATAACAGTTAATATCCTGTGAGCATTGAAAGAAAAATTATTATACAACTTTTCAAAATCTCTATTAAGCTATTTAATTCATTACAAAAGGCAATATTTCACCATTGAACCTAAAGAATTAACACCAATTATGGATGTTGATTGTAAATATCTTGCTGTGATTTCAACACCATAAAATGCCACCAACTACGGCTATAATAATTAAATTTCACATTAAAAGTGGTATTTTGTAATATAAATTTTGTAATTCAAGAATATTCTAATGAAGTCATTCAAAGTTTGTGAGCCGTAAACTTTTGTTAATAAGACATTTTGTCGTTGGGATTAGGAAAAACCCACAATAAGTTTCAAATTTCCAAAGAGTTGTAAATTCCTTGAGGGTATAGAATAGAATGTAATCACGTGCTTTCGTAATATTATTATGAATACATAATAACTTAACTCTTTACAAGAAATGTAATGCTTCGTGAATTGTTGTAATACTAAAAACATTAACAAACACCTATTTATATTATAAATAAATTAAATAAAATTATAAATAAATTTTCACTTTAATACTAGAAAATATTAAGATTGTTTGAAAGGAAATCGTTGAAAAAATATAACTTGAAAATAATAAAAAATACTTTAAACTTCAACAATTTTATTCAGAACGTCTTTGTAAAAACCAGTAAGGAAACGTCAAAACTCGGGCGGGGCCGATTATATGATAACCTATACCACCATGGATATGTAGTAGAGCTCCCGCTACAAAAAAAAAAATTATTTAAGTAGATCATACCACCTATCAACCTATGGCTTTAGAGCAGTTATAGTTCAGTTTCAGAGGGAACTAATATACAGGGTGAGATGAAAAAACTATAATCAATTTCAGACTGCTGTCATTTCTAAGCTACTCTTCCGATAGCTGTTAAAATTATTCCAGTGACTGTTCATTATATTATTTACAAGCGTACAAAAGTATTTGGGTGAGAATTTTTCAGAAAAAAAGTTATTCGTGTTGGAATTCAAGCGTGATAGTGTGATTTCCTTATATTTGGCTGGAAAGCCTCAAGTGACTACCGTAAATTTGAATAAATCTTTTGTGTCTCGTACCATCGCTCGTTACCGTGATACTGGTAGCGTAGCCCGACGTCAATGAAGTGGACGGAAGAAAACAGCAACATTAACAGAAATGGTACGAAAAGTAAAGAAGCGACTTCATTGAAACCCGCGTCGCAGTGGCCGATAAATGGCCCGTGTGCTGAATATATCGCAATATTTCATTCGGCAAATATTGAAAACTGAGCTCGGGGTAAAGCCATTGAAATTCCAAAAAGTGCAAGAACTTACACCGCAACAAGAAGAAAATAGAATCCAAAGAGCTAAAAAGTTGCTTCGCTTGGCCGGAGGTGGTGAACTGCCGAATTTGGTTTTCTCCGATGAGAAAACATTCGTTGTCCAGCAGTTCTTAAACAAACAAATCGTGTTTACTTGCCAAAGAGGTCAGCTGAAAATGTGCACCTTCGGTTGGCCACCAGAACTCAAGCGCCGGCTATGGTGATTGTGTTGGCCGTCATTACAGCCGATGGTCCATCTCCGCTCGTATTAATCGACCGTGGCATCAGAATAAATGCCGAATGTTATCTCGCAAATATCCTGGAGGGTGCATTAAAGCCTTGGGCACGCAAACATTTTGACGGCAGACCTTGGACATTACAACAGAACTCAGCACGCGCCACCCAGGAATGGTTACAAAATGAGGTTCTTCGCTTGATTTCCAGCGCACAATGGCCACCAAAATCTCTGGATACCAATCCGTTGGACTATTGTATCCGGAGTTTTTTGGAAAGCAAGGTTGGTACAAAAAAATTCCAAAGTGTCCATCACCTCAAGCAAGCGCTTCGCCGGGAATGGGCCAAAATTCCGCAGATCAACATCCGGGCGGCGTGTGACGTTTTCATTGGTCATTTGAAGGCCATTTCCGCGCACAATGGCCACCAAAATCTCTTATCTGGTAGAGAATATAATTCTTGTTGAATGCATAATAGGCACGAGAGGGGCTTAGAACCCCAAATCGGATGAAACATATATATGGAAGCTATAGCTATATCCAAACCGATTTTCTCGAAATTTGTTGTACTTGCTTCTAAACTGAATTCGGTGGGATATACCAAAATTCAGGTCATTAGGACTTATTTTGACCATTTGGTGCACAATTAACACGAAATCGGTTGAAGATATATATAGGAGGAGAGACATCTCCAAATCTGAACCGATCTTGATAAAATTTGGCAGAGGTATTTCTGGGCCGTGTCTGATGTCCGATACCAAATATTACTTCTTTGGAGCGCATATTACGCATGTGAGGGACTTAAAACCCCAAATCGGATGAAACATATATATGGGAGCTATAGCTATATCTGAACCGATTTTCTCCAAATTTGATTCACTTGCTTCTAGGCTGAGTTCGGTCGCATGTACTAAAATTCAGGTTATTTGGACTGATATTGGATATTTGATGCACAATTAACCCGAAATCGGTTGAAGATATATGAGAGCTATATCTAAATCTGATCCGATTATCACCCATTTCAATAGGGTTCATCCTTGGGCCAAATAATTTTGTTCACAAAAATACATGGACGGACGGACTGACATGCATAAATCGCCTCAGAAAGTAATTCTATGAAGATCGTCAAAAGTAACTATGGATCTATCTCGCTTTCTTCTCCATGTCACAAACAAATGCCCAAATACATAATACCCTTACCATTATGTGGTGTAGGATATAAAAATTGAGATCATAAATAAATTGTACTGTCATATTTTATAGTATATGGTCCGACAAAACAGCTCCTAATTATCTCGCTGTGATATTAACAATATAAATTACCACCATAATTAAATTTGATATTAAATGAGGTATTTCTAAATATAAGGTTTCTATCCAATCCTTAAAATATTGAATTACAAATTGAACACATGATATTTAAATTCATTCCCAATTAAATTCTGTCATAGTAACGCCAATTTCCGCTACATAAAAGTTACTTACATTTCTCAATCCGCTGAAAATTATTTTCCAGAAAGTTACAACGTTTCTGAATACATATGAATGTAATTCATACAATTTCATTGTTGTTCTTTTCCCCTTACAGATCACCATTGATTTTTGAAAATGAAACGGGTTCAAGTGCTGGCATTACAAACACAGGCATTACAAACACAGCCTCATCAATGGCCGCCGATGGTGGTGGGGAGAGTGTGCGCCGGGGAAAAGTTATTGTAACCCAAACAACGACAACAGGTAACACCCTGACAACACCGGGTGCTGAAAGTGCAATTTCAAATCAGTCCAGTGATGTGGAAGAATTACAACAAATTGATCAGGGGAAGATGTAAATATTAAATTTAATATCTCATTATATTTAGAATACAAAATACTCTACACCCACTTATGAATTCCCATCTTCCCCAGGATGAAGCAAATGACACGCACCGAAGACCATTTAAAGTCACAGGACTTCCAGGTTTGCATAACGATAATTGAGGCACGGCAACTGCCCGGTCTGAACATGGATCCGGTTGTGTGCATTCAAGTGGGCGATCAAAAGAAATACACCAGTGTAAAGGAAAGCACCAATTGTCCTTATTACAACGAAGTAAGAGCAACAATAGCTGGGTTCTGAGTCATGGCGATAATATTAATAATTCCAACTATGTGAATGTTTCTTTTCTCTTTTCTTTTCAATTTCAGTATTTTGTTTTCGATTTTCACATGCCTCCAGTTATGTTATTTGATAAAATTATTACTTTATCGGTAAGTATCGTATATTAACATTTTAAAGAAAAAGTAACTATGGGCGGCAACGCTAACCAATCTGTGATGACACTGTGATTTGGAATACCCAAGGACTGTTATTAGCTTGTATTAGTAGTTAAAAGTCTATATAATAAATGTTCCGACAAGTTTAAATGGGGTCTTATTAGGACTGTAAATAATAAATACTTATATATAAATACTTTTTTTAGCAATTCTCAAGATAAAATGTTGTTCAGGGGTCTTTTATGTGTAAGAGGTCTTTTTATGTCCGTAAAAATAAAATTTAAAATAAATTTATAGTGAGGAAGGGAAAGTTAGGTATTTAAAATTTATCTGTCGACTTTCGGAAATTACAGAAATAAAAAGAATGATTTCAAGAAGTACTTTCAAAATTTTAAGCTAAAAAATTTTGGAACTTCGGTTATTTTTAATTTTATAGACATTTAGAGGGCGATCTCAGGGAATTTTTGACAGGATACGCTTTATAAAGCTGATAATGAAAGAGTGTTTGGGTCTTGGCTTTAAGGAAAGTCTCAGTCTCTCAAAATATGTTAGGTAATCCGGACTTAGGGATTTATCAAATTTTCAAAACATTTATATGGTAACCTTAGGGAAATTTTAAATAAAAAAGCCCAAAAAAATAAATTTAAGATATGGTTGAAAAATGCCACAAATGAAAGGCCCCAAGGAATAGAATATAGCGAACTTATAGACAAAAAATAATTTTATTTTTGCAAAATGGCTTAATCCCTTTATTGTTGCTTTTATAATGGATGGTAATGTTTACCAGGGGGTAAGGCAGGGAATACCTAGGTTTCGGAAAGAGCCACCAATCCTCATCAGTTCCCTTGTTTTTTTTTTTGTATGGCGCTAATGAGAGGTCATAGGGTGCAAATGAAAGTTTATAGGTAGTAATTTTAGATATTATAGGCAAGCATTTTCGAATTTTTGGAAAACTTATGGGTTGACCTTGGAAAAATTGCAAAAAAGGACACATTACACCGCACAGAAACTAGAAATTAAGCGGGCTTGCAAACGGACCCAAATGAAAATTCTCAGGAAGTACTCTTTAAATACAGAAAATTTATAAAAAAACGGATTTCGTACTTGGGATTTTCGAATTTTCGAAATGAAACGGAAATAAAAAGAATAGATCGGAAAGTGATGAATTTTTTAACGGCTATTTTTTTAATTTTATGGAACTTTATAGGTTAACCTTGGAGCGAAGAAGTCAGCCGATTACTTGTTATATGTCTTCTCACCTTTGGGATTATTACAGATTAAATGACCCACTGAAAAATGACAAACGTATTTATGGACCCGACCCAAACGAAATGCCAAAACAAAAACAAATCGATGTTGCTATCGGCATCTGGTCTGGTTCGAAAAAAAAGGTCTTAGGACCCACTTTCAGGATATGTGGAACTTACAGACAAAATTAAAATTCGGACTTCGAGTTGTTTCAAATGGTCTGAAATTTTATCAGACAAGAATAAAGGTCCTGAATTAACGCTGGGCTTTTAGTGCAGATCTTACATTCAGAATGGCAACTGTTAAAACACGGTGCTCAATTTTGATCACATTTTCAACTATTATCACTAACACTGTATAAAAAATGACACTGGTGGCAGGTAGGTCAGTCTTGTTAGGAGTAACGTTGCCCTGATCAGTATAATCCAACTCCGATCAGAAAAAATATAAAATCACCACTCGATAAAGCAATCCATTCGCCGTTGATTTAAACTCAGTTTCGAAAATAGTAATGTCCAATGACCCTGCCGGACGTTATGAAATTAGGGACTTCTCGAAATTAACTCATAGGTTACCCGACTCATAGGTCCCAGATGAAGTAATTTTTCTTGTTGACGTAGCCATCAAGTTGGAAATTCAGGATAATTTTAGTGGATCATTGAAATACCCACTTAGCAAAGATTCAATTCTGTTTATTATAGCCAGCTGACTTGAGTTATTGTGTTGACTGAACTTGATAGGCCTTAAGACCCAAATCTACAAAATGACTTTTGTGGAATGTTTCTAAAACACTTTGGACAACTGTTGTTCTTGGCGATATGCAAGGGTTTTTCTTCGGATCACTAATTTTTCAAAAGAGTTCGAAGTTATCCCTCCAATTCTGTACTGCGGACTAAATAGGTTCTGCAAGACGAGCCAAAAAAAATTAGTCTTGCGATATTTGACTGCAAAACTAGTTTCAAATTTTTAAATGCCGAAAGCTGTTACTTCAAAATCGACAGTTACCGAAATACTGGGTAATTGATAATAATACCTCTTGTTGGAGACCCACTGGTCTTTTATAGACGGATTTTCTGTAGAGAGTAGACAATTTAAAGGTTTTCTGTCATCTTCTATAGATTGAACTCCTTTTCATAAGAATAACTTTTTTAGGTCCTCTTTAAAAAGAAGACCTTTAAATGGCTTTGTTGATATGAAAGGCCTTTTTCACGATTTCTATGGATATACAACCTTTTGCAGTTTCGTATAGAAATGGCATTCCGGCTCCTCAGTAGGTAGTAGACCTTCTGAAGGACTTTCATATTTAAATAATAATTACTTTAAAGAAAATTATGCTAATACTTTTAATGGCATTGACTATAAGAAAGAATTGTGAAGGGTATTCTATAATGGGAAGACATTTTACAAGAAAAAGGGTTTTAGATCTTCTATAGACAGAATGACATTTGTATGTCCTCTCTATAAGTTTCCTTCAGTTAGAAGACATGTTTCACCTCTTCTAGACGTTGTGGCAATTTTCTGTTGTGGGAACATCTTTTACCGGATATCTCTAAATAGAAGACTCTTTACAGGTCTTCTATTGAAAGACTTTTAGAGATCTTCTAGAGTTAGAAAAACTATTTCCGGGTCAAATATACACATTTTTGCCAAGATTTTCTTTATGGAGGACTTTAATTATCCTTTCTTTAGAAGATGAACCACTCCCTACTGTATTTTCTTAGATAAAATAGCTTTTCTGCTAGTCTTATGAAGATAGAATATATTCTAAAAATAACCATTGTAGGTAGGAAAAAGTTATTAGGGTTTACATTGTCGGAATTTATTCTTCAAATATTCAGCAACAAAAATATATTCTACCAGATATGTAATAATTTTAATGAAATCTTGTATCCCCTTGCTTTCCCTGCACAATGATAATTATTAAATTAAGCAGATTTCCCTCTTCACGTACTGTGTGTTAAATAAATTAATTAATTAACTAACAGCAAATACGAGAGTAAAGTATCCTTGATAATGGCGACTGTTATGCTTTCGTTTGGTTTATTAAAAATGACATTGATATTATTTATGTATGCGTTGGCTTTATTAATTAATTTATGGCAAAAGAAATAGTTTACACAGCCATTGCCATTACAACGAAAAAAGGTATTTAGTGAAAAAAAAAAATTTGTTTGACATACAAAAGCCTCTTAGATTACACATTATATTAATGTCATATGTAAAGCGGTTTTTTCCACATTTATTTGTAGAATTTGTATAGCATATTTTTAGATGCTCCCCAGAATCTTAAATATAAAATGCAGCATTTAGTACAGATTAATATACTAAAAGTATAGAACAAATAAAATACAAGTGAATTCATAATGGTGTAAATTATATACATACAGGGTGAGATAAAAAAACTGCAATAAATTCAAACGCCATAATTTTTACATTTCTTTTCTAAATTTTATTGAATGAAATCAAAAAATGTCGGATATAGCATCAAATTTTAGAATGACTTTAGATTTGTTCGAATTGGTCACCTTTGGCACGAATTATGGCCTTCAAATGGCCAATGAAACCGTCACACGCTGCCCGAATGTTGTTCTGCGGTATTTAGGCCCATTCCCTGCGAAGCGCTTGCTTGAAGTGATCGACACTTTGGTATTTGTTAATGCCAATTTTCGCGATAATATTCGGCATTTATTCTGATGCCACGGTCGATTAATACGAACGGAGAGCGACCACCGGCTGTTATGGGGGCCCACACCATCCCCATGGCCGGCGCTTGATTTCTGGTGACCAATCGAAGGTGCACATTTTCAGCTGACTTCGTTTGTTTGTTTACAAACTGCTGGACAACGAATGTTTCGGAGCGGAGAAAATCAAATTCGGCAGTTCACCACTTTCGGGCAAGCGAAGCAATTCTTTAGCTCTTTTAAATCTATTTTCTTTCTGTTGAGGTGTAAGTTCTTGCACTTTTTGGAATTTCAATGGCTTTACCCCTAGTTCATTTTTCAATATTTACCGAATAGAATATGCGAATGCGATATGTTCAGCTCACGAGCCATTTTTCGGCCACTGCGACGCGGCTTTCGATCAAGTCGCATCATGAATTCCATCACGAATATTATTTTTTCTGGAAAATTCTCACCAAAATGCTTTTGTACGCTTGTAAACAATATAATGAGCTGTCATTGGAATAAGTTTAACAGCTGTCGGACGATTATATGACTTTAATATAATGTGTATTGAAGTCTTAAATGAAGTCTTCTAGTGGAGTCTGGGGCCTACTTAACTACTTCATCTCTGTGTTAAAAATATAAAAATAATTTTAAATGATTTTTATTTTCCAACAATGTCAACTTAACTATCTTAAGAATATATCTTTTATAAATTTAAAAAAAAAAAAACAAAAAAACAATTCTCAAATAATATACTTATTTACCAATTATTTTATATAACTAAAAGGTCTTGCAGTCTAGGAAATTTTTGAGAACTGGTACATTAGTGGGTTCTTTCAAAATTGACCTGTCAACTGTTTATGATGCTCCTGGTACTTGTAACAAAATATTTATTTTTTTTCTGTTCTTAAATTTTCTCTATGTTACCCTAGACAATGTAATGTTCTATCCCTCATCAGAAATTGTTAAGTTTTTCTTTTTGAAAATTTTAATTTTATGCAAATATGAAAGTCAACTGTTTATTAATTTTGTATGATAACTTCACTTTTATATAAATTAAGAAAAATGTTATATTTCCTTTTAGACAGATTTATTTTCATTCTAAGGACCCCCTCATTAAAAATGAATGTTATGCTAATTTGGTAATTGTTAGCGTTGTTGGTAGCGGAAAACAGTTGAACACAGTTATAACGAAGAGAAGAGGGTCAACGTTTTTCTCTAAATGAGAACCCCACATCTCAGATCATACCAAGCAAATTTTGTTACAACTGGGTTCAATTGCATTTCAAACAAAAAACTCAAAGAAAGTGTGTAAAAAGTAAACCTAATTTGATATAAAAATTTGAATGTTCTTTTTTCCCAACCCTTATTTACATTTTCCCCTTTTTCTCTCGTTTTTTTCTTCTTTCTCTGTTCCCTTTTGAAACCTATTTTTTTATTCAAAAAACAAACCACGAACTGTCTACAAACTTCTTGCAATAAAAAAAAAAACAAAAACCAATGAATGTAAACAAACCCCCTACAATTTTTCACAACTTTACACGCCACACTAAAAACCAAAACAATAATAACACCCTTCAAAAAACAAAACCAAAAAAAATGACAATAACGTATTTTGTGCGGCAAAAATCCAAAATTAAATTTTCGCCGAACCAACCCCACCATTTCGCCTAAAAAGGTCTTGCAAAGCCGCAGTGTTTTAAGGCCAAACAAATTAATTGGAAATTTTAAATTGGACGTGGCAACGGTTTGGACCCAAAAAGGTAAAAAGCAAACAAACAACAAATACAAGCAGCGATGACAATCCGGAAATCGTTGAACACATTTTCACATAGGACACCTAAAATACGCACACAAAACACTCACACACACACAATTCCGTTTTTTGTCGCTCTTTGCTTTCAGCCACTTTTCCGCATAGCCGAAAAGCCATAAGAACCTAAAAGTTGTTAATAGTTTTAATGGAAAAGGATATTGGTCTATTCATCTTGCATTTCGGCACATTGTCGAGCGAACAGAGTAGCAGAAGAATAATTGAAAATTTCACAAGAAAATAAAATGGATTTATGTTGCTTAAATTATGTAATTTGTCAAGTTGTACATTAAATTGTTATTGAAATATTTCGATGCTGCCACTGTTTTTTTAGTGTTTGAAAGTCGCCGTCGGCAAACGGAGAAGAATACCAAATTTCATGGGTCAGTAGGTCGATTTGTAAGTAGTTATTTCTGCCAAAAATTTACTAGGAAACCCATTATTTGGTAATGGAAGTTATAATATGTAATCGGTGCACTATAAATTCGGAGGTTATGCGAACAAATATAACGTGCGAACAAATATAACGTGATAGAGAAATCCTTCCAGTAAAGTGTCATTACCAAATAATGGGATTTTTCACTACATCTTGACACTAGTAACTATATACAAAACATCCTACTAACCACAAATATTGCATTGCATTGTATAATATAAAAAGTAAAAAGGCAGTAAGTTCGGCCGTGACGAAATTTGGAAATTAAAAAAAAAAATCCGTTACAAATTCTATTAAAACCTTAAAAATATCGAATAAAGCCGACCTCGAAGGCGTGGACCTGCATATTATATATGGACCATATATATTTGATATATTCAAGTAGGAAAGTTAAGAAAAATCTGATGAATAATGTATCTAAAATCATCGAAATTCCATATATAGGGAGGTACCGTTATATCTGGACCTGCTGTGGTACATTAAATACGAAATTACAACTATTCAAGAGCAACTTCTTTTGTGGATTTTCAGACAATTTCATTAATAAATTTGGCTACAATCATCAAATAACGAATATCGGGGGTACCGTTATATGGGCGCCATACGATATCGTGAACCGATATAGTCCATCTTTGAACTTGACTTGCCTGCAAACAAAAGGCTGATCTGTGCAAAAGTTCAGCTTCGCTTTGACTCAAGCGTGATTACAATAGACAGGTGGACAGACGGACGATCGCCTAAATCGTCTTAGAATTTTACGCTGATCAAGAATATATATATACTTCGTTATGCCTAAAATTATTATTTCGATGAGTTACAAACGGAATGACGAACTTAATATAGCATCCACACTATGGAGGGTATAATTACTAACCAAACTGCCACTGAGCCATCTAGACTCAGCCTAGATTCAAATCATATTCGTTATTTTGATGGGTTTTGCCGCATTTTTGAACGGAATTATGTCAAAAAGATAACAATGAATTTGTTTCCGGACCGTTTGATGTCTAAATGTGATGATTTGGACTGACCACCGCGTTCGCCCGATTTGACGCCGCCTGACTTCTTCTTGTGGGGATATTTGAAGTCAAAGGTTTACGTTAACAAGCCAAGGACCGTAGAAGAGCTCAAGGACAACATTCGTGAAGAAATAGCCGCTATTCCGGCCGAAATGTTGGCAAAAACGATGACACAATACAGTGCAGCAAAAAGGGCACAGAGAGATATCATATTCAAAAATTTATGTAAAAAAATCTACTTGGAACAAATTGAATGATTAACATTGCCAACTTTTATTTTTTTCTTTGATTTAAAAAAAAAAAAAAAACATGGGTCCGTCGAATATGGGCAACCCTGTATGTGGTACCTACCCCACAACATTTTCACAGAAAATAATTTTCCGAATGGAACAAAAATGGATCATCTAATTTTGTGGAAACTTAGGAAATTTCAAAATTTTTCATCAGTGCTATATCAGGTGCGAAAATTGACAATATGGATCCACTCCCCAGGGTCAAAAGTTTGAATAATTTGAACTTTTATAAAATGCAAAAAAAAATAACCATCCGATTATTCTCACACATCCCAATCCTTTTACTAACACCAGATCTGGCGTGAAAAAGGTAGTTATCGATCCACTCCTTCTGCTACCTCCCCCTCAAAGGGTCAATTTTTAGAATAAACACTAAGCTTATAAAACGCGAAATGAGCATTCGATTATTTTAACACGCGGCATACACCAATATTTCCATCAGCATTCCTTCCAGTATCTCCCCCTCAACGGGTCAAAATTTTGAATAATTATATCTTTCATAAAATACGAAATAAGTATAAGATGTTCTTCCAATTTCACATATCCCAACATTTATGTTTACATAAGATCTGGTATGAAGATGACGGATGTTGACCCACTTCTTCTGGTATCTCCCCCACAAAGGGGTCAACTTCAGATTATCTTTAAAGTTCACACATTCCAATATTTTTCATCAACACAAAATTTTGCGTGCGAAACTTGATATATCTACAGGGTTGCCCATGGCAGAAGAATACAGGTAGATGCATCAACGCTTGGGAGCATTGATGTGTCAAAAAATTTAAATATTTTTTTAAATATAAGTAGATTTTTACATGTTTTCTTATACTACGTCATTCGGAGGCTATTATAATTCGCGTTTTTCAACAATTTTTGCAAATTGAAAAACTTTTTCATTCAACATTTTCAATTCCAAAATTGGTTTGACAGTTCATTGTCCCAGCAGCTGTGTCGACGCGTCTACCTATATTCTTCTACCATGGGGTTGCCCATATTCGACGGACCCATTTGGCAACGCCATATCTTTTGACAGAGATGTCACATCGCTTAATGACATACTGCGTTTGAAGCGTCAGTCCAAGCAGATTTTTACCATGAACCAATACACGCCACGCGAGCGCTCTGAAATTTACATTCAACAGAAGAAGTCAATTGTGAAAACTCAACGAGCTTTTAAGGCATTAAAAAATGTGAAAAGTGCGCCTTCTAAGAACACCATTAAGCGTTTATACGAACAATTTTCGACTGGTAAGGCTCTTTCTAATCCGAAGTGGCCATATAAAAGTCGACCAAGGCGATCGGGCGAGAATATCACTGCCGTACGAGCCAGTGTTGAGAGGTCCCCACGAACATCCCAAAAACGCCGTTCTCAGCAGTTGGGCATGGCTCGGTCCACTTTACAACGGATTATTCGCATTGATTTGCATTTGTTCCCGTACAAAATTCAATTGACGCAAAGAATTCTGCCTGCGGACAAGCCTCGTCGATTGGAATGGGCCCAAAGGTCCGTCGAATATGGGCAACCCTGTAAATATCCCTCTCAACCAGAGATATAAAGTGAATTTGATTCTTCTCGTAACTACCCCACAAAAGATTATTTTTACCCTCCACCTTGAAAACGGGAGTATATTAACTTTGTCATTCCGTTTGTAACAAACCCTAAATATTCTTCGTAGACCCCATTAAATATATATTCATGATCAGAATAAAATTCTACTTCGATTTGAAATCACTATACCGCCCACATTATTGGACGTAGGACTTCAAAATTTGGCAGAACAATTTGTATTGTGTCTAGAATGATTGGTATTGACAATGAGATACATTAGATTTGTCTCAAAATTGATACTTGTAGATTATAATGGGTTCTAGCTCCGGTGGCGACCACGGAGCTATGGCCCCCATATAGCAGTACCCGCCGATATTCGATATTTTGATGATTTTCGCCACATTTTTTCACGGATTTGTCTGAAAATTGGTATTTTTAGGCCATAATGAGTTCTAGCTCTGGTGGCGACACATATAACGGTACCTTCCGATTTTCGGTATTTTTATGATTTTTTCCACGGATTTCTCTCAAAATTGGTATTCGTGGGTCATAATGGGTTCTAGCTCCGTTGGCAAAACATTGTTTGTATACGTCCACGTTTTTGTATAGTCCCCATATAACGGTACCCACCGATATTCAGTATTTTGATGATTTTTGCCGCATTTTGAAGTTGAAACCGGTCTATAGAGGTTTCCTTGTTGACATGGCCCCCTATATAACGACCTAACCCACTTAATGGTTTTGTTGAAAAATTTAACAGCATTATTCAGACGGCCTTACTTATATTTGTAGTTTAAAAACGTTGTCTTTAACCAATGGTGGAGAGCATTAAAAGTTCCGCCCGGCCGAACTTAATGTTTTCTTTACTTGTTATTTTTTAAAATTGGATTTGTAGGGAAAATCGATTAATCTAAAGTTCAGTTATATATCCCAAATCTCAAAAAGGTTCACAACATTGAACAAAAATCTTGAAATGTTTGAAAATGAAAACGATCTGCATATTAAAATAGTCTGCAGTATTGGTTAAACAAACCCAATGGTTGGCAGATACCATCTAAAGACATGCATTTTTGGCATTCATTGAGAAATGTTCTTTATGTTTTATTTACAACAAGGTTCTTATGGCTAAATATAAGTAAAGAATCCAACTTCCACATTCTAAACATTATTTGTTCGCATGAAATTCCAACTGTTCTCTTCGCCTGCATTTTTTTATATTTTTGGTGTCACTTAATTTTTGGCTTGCACATTTTTCTCTAATAGATGTAATCTCTTAATTTTTAGAACACTGAATTAATCTCAATTTTAAACCATATTTCAGATCATCAATTCTATCATAAATGGGCTCTCCTAACCGATCCTGATGATTTCTACAGTGGGCCCAAGGGATATCTTAAATGTGATATAGGCATAATAGGTAAAGGTGATACGGTTAAAGTGCCACAAAAATCTGAAAAGGATCCAGATGATATTGAAGCGTAAGTTGGGAAAAACTTCTCACCAATGTTGTTACTCAATAAAAATAAAACGATCCTCATCTTCATAGTAACCTCCTATTGCCGGATGGTGTACCCATCGAAAGACAACGAGCTAAATTTATAGTTAAAATTTATCGAGCAGATGGCTTGCCTCGCATGAATTCCTCTATCATGGCCAATGTGAAAAAGGCCTTAACGGGAGAAGCCAAGGACTTGGTTAGTCCCTATGTCCAGGTGTCGTTTGCTGGCTTGTCTGGTAAAACTACGGTGAAGAAAAATGCCTATGCTCCGGTTTGGAATGAGCAGTTAGTATTTACCGAAATGTTTCCACCATTGTGTCAACGAATTAAGGTAAGTATTTCGCAGTAATTAAGATGGTCCTTCGAGCAGGCAAATTATCATAGATGATAGATAGATAGGATCGATATTGTTTTTTTCAATATCGAATAATAGTGTTATAATTGAAAATATTAAAAAAAAAAAACGTTTTTTCAGATCCAACTTAGAGACGCCGATCCCATGAAACCCTCCATTATTGGTACCCACTACATCGACTTGAAGCAGATTTCCAATGATGGCGAAAAGGGATTCCTGCCCACATTTGGTCCTTCGTTCATACATTTGTATGGCTCGACACGTGACTACACCATCCTGGATCAACATTCAAATTTAAATACCGGTCTGGGCGAGGGTGTCAGCTATCGTGCACGTCTACTGATTGCCATACGCACTGAAATTACCGAAAACATCGAATTGACCACCGAAAAAAATGTTGAACTAGAACCCACCCAGCTGATATCGGAATCGAGCTATTCACGCAATGAGGAATTTTTCCTGTTCGGTTCAATCATTGAGGCATCAATGATCGACAAGAAAATCAGTGATAAAACCGTTTTCTTCGAATTGAGTATGGGCAATGCAGGCAATTCCATTGATGGTCACAATGAAAGCTTCTCCACCCTGGCAGATGATGGAGAAGATGGTTGTTTATTGGAATCGGTGGATACTACTTCGTTTAGTAGTACCACAAATTCCTGTAAGCCCATATCGCATGACAAGAGTCATTATTATCTGCCCTATTGGGACTATAAGCCCTGCATGGATGTGCGCTGTACATTGCCGGATTTGCGTCGACGGATGTATAACAGTAATATGTTGGCGAAGATGGCGGAGAAATATGTGAGTATATCAGTAATAACTGAGTGGCTGACGGCGGGATACGCCCACATTTATAGAAATTGGATCTAAAATGGTACAAATAGTACCAGAAGTACTATTTTATGCGAAAAAGGTATTTAACGAAAGAAGTAAGCTTGACTTGCTTTTTGGGGTATTTAAAATAGAAGGGCACTAAGGTGTACTAAATATAGTATTATCAGAAGTACTATTACTATTAAGGTGTAATATATAGTATTATCAGGAAATTGTACAAAAGGAGTTTGAAAAGATTATTAAAAGCACTAAATATTACACCATTAGTTTAAGCGATCATTTAGACCCAAATCCGAAAATTTATGTGTTACTATCTTGAGGTAAGCTTGAGAGTGGCCTATGGTCTTGAGAATGCTAATATGGTGTAGTAAAGTATTTTCAAAAAAAATCTTTCTGAAATATTAAAAAAAAAATGTTAAAATATATTAAAAATTTAAAATACCGTGAAGAATTAGAGTACTGGATTTTTGCTATAAAAAAAACAAATGATCTCAAAACGTGTGGTGGATATTTTAACTAGAACTCAGATTTTCTCGCGGAAGAAAAATAAACGCGCTAGGGAGCGATCGAAGATTAGGAGTTGGATGCGATGTTTTCACTCTACTGCGAATTACTCTTGTTTGGAAATAAGAGTTGTTCGAAAAAGAGTATGAGTTTACTCGAGCGGAAAAAAAATGTGGTTTGCTGATTTGTGTGTTCTTAAGTATGTTCATAGCAAACAGACAGAGAGAGATATCGTGTACAAGAGCCAAGAAGTGCTCCCGCTCGAGTTTGAGCTAGATACACTCTTTACTCGAATTCGAGCGAGCAATTGGAGCATTACTAAATATTTAGTCATTGGTGTTGGATAAACGAGCAAATTTTGATTCTTCATAGTATGTGAAAAGGATTGATATTTGCCCTTGCGATTTGATGAAGGTTGAGATAAGGAGGGATTTTTTGAAAATTCCTACGTAAGTACTTTAATCTAGAGGCACCAGACTTACTACCATTGACTTTTGATGAACGTATAAATCAAGGCTAGGCAAAGAGTATCCCTTGGGATATCTGTGTGTTCACCAACACAATTGTAAAAAATAAATTGTTTTGAATTTTCTGTCAAAATGGTTTTGGGAGAATATTTAGTTTTGTTCGAGCAGTCGTTGAGAAAGGTGCTGTCGGATATTTTTATGAATACACCGTAAGAAATGTTGGAGCACAAATATATCTTACTACATATTCGGAACAAATATTTCCGAATTTGTAAAAATTATAAATTTTAAGATTTATCTTTTTTGATGGAAATCTATTTGACAAAACTTGCATACGAATTCACATGTTAGGAATAGAAATTTATTTCATATTGTTAGACAAATTTATTGTCCTTCGAAATTAATGGACATTTTCATTTCCCTTGATTTCTCTGAAATTATATGTACGTTCTTAGTCAATATTAGGGAAAATAACTGTCATTCTGTTTGTAATTCATAGACATAATATTTTAGGACCCAACGCAGGATATGCGTTTCTGATCAGCATAAAATTCTACAACTATTTGCGTATGTCAGCCTGTTGTAATCGGTATTAATTTTTAAAGGATCAACTTAGATGGTTAGGATATTAAGTCCGAAATTATAATTTGTGTTTAATATTTTTTTTTTTTTTTTTTTTAATAAAAATTATATAAAATTTTTGAAAATGTCAACTTATATATATTTTTTTATTTTGAAATGAAACATAATTGAAATAACTTTGCAAATATATCTCCGAAATATATCTCTGAATTTTTAAAACAGAAAATTTTAAATTGAAAATTTAAAGATAACCAATTATTTCTCACTCTGTAAAGAGAGGCAAAAAAATACTTGCAATATTTTGATATTTCAAAACACATACAATCACAAAAAATTTTTGAGGCTCTCTGCCTTGCCCTGGTATAAATCCTGAAACCTGACCTTCGAACTGATTGAACTGAAAATTTCAGCGTAACTGGTGAAACGTCTACTAAAGTGGTTAAAAAATCGTACAAATAATTCACAAAAAGCCCAAACCGAACCGTACCGAATTTTGTATACCTGGCATTGGTTTTACAAATTTGAACCAAAGACCAAGATTCCACCATAGTATGGAGGGTATATCAAGTTTGTCATTCCCTTTGTAACACCTCGAAATATACATTTTAGCACCACAACGTATATATATTCTTGAGCAGCATAAAATTTTATGTCGATTTAGCGATGTCCGTTCGTCTGTCCGTCAGTGGAAATCACTCTAGCTTCCGAACGAAATGCAGTGGGTTAATAAAATTTTACTCAAATGTGTATTATGTCTGCAGGACTTTTGGTATTGAAAATGGGTCATGTAGGTCCACTTTTTTGTATAGCCCATATAATGGCACCCCCCTTTTTCGGTATATTATTTTTTTTCCAAATTTAATGTTTGAAGTTCGTAATGAATACTACAGCCTAAGAAAGAAAATTATCTGTGCAGGTCCACAGGTGAGGGTACCTCCCTATATTCAGTATTTTCATTCCTTATTAACCGAATGTTTTTCAAGTTTCGCATTTGAATATTCTAATTGCTGACAAAAGTTGCCTATACAGGTCTATGTCGTCGTATAGATTCTAATATAACGGCTATATTCGGTATTTTTAAGATATTAACATCATTTTTCACTTCACTTTTTTCAAAATTGCCAAATTCGTTTAAAATGGTGGAGGGTATTCTAAGATCTGCCCGGTCGAACTTATAGCTTTTTACTTGTTTTTTTTTTATAAATTTTAACAAAAAAGAAAAAAATACCGTCTACCATCTGGCAAAGGAAGCCTTCACCAAATCGGCTTAAAATTTTGCGCTGATGGGTTTAACATGAGCAGTTGAAAAAGTTTATAGTTCATTATGGGTTCTTGCTCTTGTGGAGGAACATTGTTTCTTATAGGTCCGCGTTTTCATATGGCCCCCTATATAAGGATATCTCCCGATATTCGGTATTTTCATGGTTTTAGCTACATTTTTTATGGATTTGTCTATAAGTAAGTGTTTGTAGCTCGTAATGGGTTCTAGTTCCGATTCCATAGGATATTAGGAATTTTGGCGAATTACGCCACATTTTCTAATAAATTTGTGTGATATTTGGTATTTGTACTTTATAATGCGTGCTACAACCGGTGTCAAAACATAGTCCATATTGGTCCTAGTCACATTAACCCACGAAATTATGTAAATTTTGGTATTAAAGGCTCGCTATAGATTCCAATCGTTGTAGTATAAAATTTTCTATATAGGCTCCCATATTAGTATTAGTATAACGGCTCCAAACATTCTCCCACTGATCTTACTGGAATTTGTAGTTTAAAGTGGAACACATTCGGATCCAGATGTTTTGCATTAAAATGTTCTCTTTTTCCATTGTTGGAGGGTATTAGAGGGTATTTGTTAAATTTAATTTTTCGGGTGGGCCGAACTTAATGTCTTTTAATTTTATACGTTTCAAATTGGAGTTAAAAGTGTTTCAGGAAAATTTTAAGGAATATATATTGTAGATCCATTTTATTATGAGTCTCTGAACAAAGACAATATTAAAATATCATCAGTTTGATTTATAATAGTTTTTTAGACAAATTTAAAACTTTTTTTACCAAGTAATGAGCAACCGTGGCAGATAGTGCACTTAATCAAATTCTAAACGGAACTTTTGTATTACCACTAGGTTGAAAGTAACGCGTTATTTCCAAAAGGGGTTATTGGAAGAAACCCCACCTCACCACCTGAAAAAATAACTCGTATATTTTATTGTTTGATAATGAGATTTTGATAAATTGAATATTTTAGCACAAAAAAAAAATAAATAAATAAAAAAATAAAAAACTAGGCAAAATAATGTCTTGCAGACTTCAAATATCTTTAATTATTAGTAATTGGGATTTCCGTACATGTGTAAGTTAATATATTATAGTAGAAATGATTCTCTAGGTGTAAAATTATCACTTAACAATTAAGTCGGCAATTTTTACTTTACATTGCAAAATTGAGTTTTGTACTTATTTTTTCTATTCCAAAAATATAGGAAGATGGTTTGGCGGAGACCAAGCACATGATAGAAAATGAAGATCCCAAGGCTGAGGTGCGGCTACGTTCAACACTGGAAGATTTGGCCTCGGCGTGTGTTCGTTACCAGACCATAACCAAGAGTAATTGTACGGGGCCAGGTAGTGGTAAAACCAAATTGGACAAGGAACGTATGAAACTGTGTACGCGGGAAATTGTAAGTCAAGCCAAGCTAATCAAAATATTAAGGATATAAAAGAACTCAAAATTATCAAGCTTTCTAAAATGCTAGTATATCTCTCACTAAACCAACCTGCTTTGTAATTTGATGTAACATTTTATATTTCAGGAAAGTTTAGGAAATCTCGCACGAAACCTAAGAGCCCTGGTGACCAAAAGTTCCCTGAAGGAACGTTTCAAACAGGCCCAGACCTATATGCCCAAGTTGAAATTCCTCATAGATGATGTAAGAATTTCTGGGTTTCTTTTTTGAGATTGAATTATTTTATGAAGCTTCTTTGCAGCCCCAACATTCCCTACCCGACATCTTCTTGTGGCTCATAGCGAATGGCAAACGTTATTGCTATCATCGTATGTCGGCAAGAGATTTAATTTATTCTGCCACAGAAGAGGAGGCCGGCATACATTGTGGAAAAATTCAGACGCTATTTTTACGTTTACCGGGTAAACAGTCCACTGGCACCGCCAGCTGGTTTATACAGGCTAAACTTTCGATTTACTTGTGGTTGGGTGTGGTCAGCCATAAGGGTCATTTCTTTGAGGGTTTACCCATTGGCTATGACCTGTCACATGAGCTGAGAAACGCCGAGAGACCGGGAGCCATGGCGCCCAATAACATACACTATCTGGAGAAGTCTGTGAGTTGAGATTTGGAGATTAGAGTATCAATCAGTTCATGGCCTATATAGGGCCAGCCAAGGTCTACACAAGGTCGGCCAAGAAGACTACTTTTGACAACAATTTGACCATCTGACAACCAAGTTTGCCGTCAAAATACATATTGTGATTTGAAATTCAAAGAGAGTCAAATGACAATAGTGACAATAGTCTTCTAGGCCGACCTTATGTAGGCCTTGAGCAGTCTTCTTGGCCAACCTTATGTAGGCCTTGGCCCTGAATTCAATAAAAAATTAACAAAATTTCCTTCATTTTCCAGACCTTCCAACTGCGAGCCCACATTTATCAAGCCCGTTCTTTGATTGGTTCCGATGCCTCGGGCCTTAGTGATCCATATGCCACCGTTTATATCACCGAATACGCCAAAACCACCCAAGTCATTGAGGAGACGCTCAGTCCCACCTGGGATGAGCTGTTGGTCTTCGATGAGATTCTAGTCTATGGTACCAAAGATGAGATCAAGAAAAATCCTCCCACCATCATAATTGAGATATACGATCAGGATAAAGTGGGTAAATCCGAATTTATTGGTCGAGCCATAGCAAAGCCTAGGGTAAAATTACGGGAGAATCCCTATGTAACACCCACATTAGAATGGTTTGATATTGTACGAGGCCCCGACAATGCTGGCGAGTTATTGGCTGCCTTTGAAATGTTGGAGCTTGGCTCGCCAGATATGCCACGACTCACAGAACCAAAAAACCCGGTGACAGCCATTGAGGGCAAACCAAATGAACGGAATAATGTACCACCCCAAGATACCATATTCCCCGTACCAAAAGAGGTGCGACTCCATTTGGCCCGTTTCCGTTTGGAAGTTCTTTTCTGGGGCCTGAGAGATTTGAAAAGGGTTCACTTTATGTCGGTGGATAAGCCACGCATTGATGTTGAATGCTCGGGGAAGATTTTGAGTTCGAATATCATACAAAATGCCAAAAAGAATCCGAATTTTCCGAATATGTTGAAATCAATTGAATTGGAACTGCCACTAGAGGAAACCTATGCTCCGCCCATAACCATACGTTGTGTGGATTGTAGATCTTTTGGACGTTATACCTTGGTGGGTACACATCAGATTACATCCATACATCGTTATCTCTACAAGCCACCACCCAAGGAGGATATAACCAAATACAAAACCATTGGGGGCCAAATTATATTATCGGCTCCATTCACCGAGGAGACCTATAATAACTTGGTCGATGGCTTTGGCATGCAGCCGATGATGGATTCATTGCAGCAGGCCAATATGAAGGATTTCTATGGGAATCGTAGGTCGTCATGTGATCAGTTCACCCTATACGGGGCGGCATGTGTTACCAAGATGTGGGTGCAGATTTGAGACCTTTCAGAAAGATTTTTTAAAGTATTTTCTGCCTTTCTCTCTCCAGGGTCAAGAAACAAACATCGAAGAAAAAATCCTCTCCACGCAGCATGAACAAGGAAAACTCCTTGATGGGTGACCAGCAGGATATCGACGATGAGTGCAGCCGTGATTGGTGGACAAAATATTTTTGGTCCTATGAACGTCTGATCGACAGCGCCAAGGCAGAAAAAGCCCTCACTACCACGGATAAGTACCTAACACCGCCCACAGCACAACAAACGCAAAGTGGAACCAAATTCGGTTCCAAATTTGTCCAAAAACTCAGTCCCAAGGGTATGACCAATGCACTGGGCCGCAACAACAAACAGGACCAACAAAGCATCTCACCCTGTTCGGCCAAGGCAAAAACGCTCAGCAACTCCACCGCCTTGTGTCAGGTAAGTAGTGGACAAGCGAATTCGTCTAAACGAATTCGTAGTGTGGCACGTCGTGCTCCTCACTTTCAGATCTATGCCGGTGACCTGGAGGCCCAAATAGAATTCAATAACTTTCGTGATTGGCTACACTCCTTTCCGCTGTATCGCGGCAAGAAGACGGGTGATTCCACAGAGGATGATAATCGTACCGTGGGCTTCTTTAAGGGAGCCATTAAGGTATATCGTCTGCCACCACCGAAGGGCATTGATTATCCCGTACCAAATTTACCTGCCAATGAGCCCATCCATGTCTTGGTACGAGTCTATATTGTCAAGGCCACCGATTTACATCCCATGGATTTGAATGGCAAGGCAGACCCCTACATTGTTCTCCATTTGGGCAGTAAACGCATATCGGACAAAGACAACTATGTGAGCAAACAATTGAATCCCGTGTTTGGCAAGTGTTTTGAGGTGGAGGCCACCTTCCCCCAGGACTCAATGTTGACGGTGCAAATATTCGATTGGGATTTGGTGGGATCGGATGATTTGATTGGTGAGACACGTATCGATTTGGAAAATCGTTTCTACAGCAAACACAGGGCCACCTGTGGTTTGGCTCTGCGCTACGAAGAGTAAGTATTGCGTTCCCCAAAATCCACACCAAATTCAATTGACAAACAAATAATAATTAATACTTTATTTCCCTTTACCACAAAATCCTACTCTCCCCCCTTTCCCCTTTCTCCTCCCAACCATAGTTGTGGTTACAATCAATGGCGTGACCCCATGAAACCCACACAAATCCTATCGCGCCTCTGCAAAGAAAATAAATTGGATACCCCACATTATTTTCAAGATCGCGTGGCTATAGGCAAGTACTGTATGACTTTCTCCGATGAGGAGGTTATAGCCTGGAATGGTCCCAGTACTTGCCGTAACCGCGATGAACATTTGGCCCTAGCCGTCCTGCATCGCTGGAGTGAAATACCAAGTGTCGGTTGTAAGGTGGGTTGTATGTTTTTCGCTACCGTGAGTGAATGGATGAATGTCTTTCCGTGTGCTCTTCTAACCTTTCCTCTACAACTACTACTAAGATTTTTTCACTTCAATGTTTTTTCTTCACCTATTAAGTCACTTGAAAAAAATTGTAAAAATAACATTTTTTTGAAATTTCCATGTATTTTTTTTTCCAAATGGTAATGCTCTTTTTCAATGTCATCTACTTGTATTGGTATTCATTCTGGCAAAGACCAACAATTTTTTGAGATCTTTATGTATTTGCTCTAAAATTCTTCCTTGACGTCTGCGAATTGTAAGCATTGCTCAAAAGTTGAAAACGATGAGATATTGTCCGAGAAATCATTCGAGGTACAACCTGGCATGAATTTGTGTAAGTATGTGTGTATAATATTATTTCAAATAAAATTTACATAAGTCTGAACATAAAGAATGATTTTGTAGGACTATCAGTGCCATTATTTGAAGTTTTATGACTATAAAATATATGAATCATTGTTGTGGATTTTATGACTACTTTTAAGGACTTTACCGCTATAATTGTGGATTTTTTAGACCTAATCTCTAGGATAATCTTAGTTTATAGAGCATATATTTCAAAGATAATCGTAATTTTTTAACACTACATTTGAAGGATAATGCTAGATTATAGAGCATGTATTTCAAGGATAATCGTGGATTTAATAACTTATGTTTCTAAATAATCGTATATCGATCATATGTTTCAAGACTAATCGTGGATAAGACAGTCTATATTTCAAGTATAATCTTAGATTATAAAGTCTATATTCCAGTGGTAATAGTGGATTACTTCAATACTGTACTTCAAAGATAATTGTGGAATATTCCAAGAGTAATCCTGGACTATCGAACATAATTTTAAAGGATAACAGAGGATAATAGAGCCTTTTATGCAAGGATAATCATAATTGCTCACACTATATTTAAAAGACAATCGTCGAAAATATTTTTTGAGGATAATTTAATCTAGCCTTTATTTTATATATATAATTCAAGGACTCTATTATTACTTCATTGATAATCGGAAATTATAAAAATTTTATTTAAGGTACAATTAATTTTTTTGAGGGATAATCCGGAATTTTTAGGATTATATTTCATGGATAATGTCAACTTTGTATTACAATTTAAAAGTCTTCAAAATCTTTTAGTAAGACCATTTCACCATGGACCCGCAATCAATTTCTCTGACCTAAACTATTTAAATATCTCCATATATAAACCCTAGAAGCCAATAGTAACCTCATGTCTATCCCTTGACTCAATACCAAATTTTGTAAAATTTAGTTCGAATATAAAACACAACATACATCTCTTTATCTTAGACACCAGATATGATACAAATTTAGTACCGTTTAGTACTTTTCCAAAAATTATATCACGCATTTGTAAAACCACCTCTCACTAGATGCCAAGAGATATATCAGTATTAAATTTCGGGATTCCAGCTCTATCCAACCCCCTAATTCCAAATTAAGTACAATTTAGTACTATTAAGTACTTTTCATCAATTATAGTACACATTTCCAAAACCACCACCATATCTCAGTTTCACATACAAATCGAGACCTCAATATTAGATTTAAGGATTGCAACCCCATATCTTCAACCAATACAAAATTAAGCACCATTTAGTATTTTTCGAACAAATGTAGGACGTATTTCCGCCTCCATATCTTAATTACAGACACCAACAGTGACATCTATATCAAATTTCAGGATTTCAGCTCTATTCCTTCACCCAATACCAAATTGAGCACTATTTAGTACTTTTCGTACAATTATAGTACACATTTCCAAATCCATCGCCACATCGCAATTCTAGATGACAACAGAGAAATCAATATCAAATTTGAGGATTCCTGTCCTATCCCTTCACCCAAAACCCAAATTAGTACCACTTAGTAATTTTCGAATAAATATATTACAGATTTCCAAGACCACCTTCATATCTAAATTCCAGTTACCAAAAGAGACCTCATTATTAAATTTCAGAATTTCACCCAATACCGAATTTAATACTGCTTTTGTACTTCCGTACACATTTTACAAACTACCTCCAAATCTGAATTCCAGATACCAACAATGGCATCAATATCAATTTTGAGGATTATCTTAGCCCTACCCACAAGCATAAACTCCAATACCAACATGTGAAAGTTTCCAGATCAATCCGTTTAACCTAAAGGAAATTGTACTATATTTAATACAGCTCTTCGACTTAGTACAAATTTCAGGTTTTTAGCTACAATCTGTACGCATAATACCAAATGGTACCACTTCAGAAGTTTAGTACTATTTTACAACTCTTTGTAACCTTAAAGTTCGAATTTCTAAAAACCCTTTGCACTCCATCAGTGCCTCTTCAGAATTATAGCTCATTTCGTTTGTCCAATACAAAGTATTTAATTATACCCTACACCACAAGATGGTCAGGGTATTATGTCTTTGTGCATTTGTTTTGATGATCTGCATGATGATGATCTGATTGTGCATTTGTTTTGATGATCTGCCTAGAATCACATTCTGAGCCGATTTATACATGCCCGTCCGTCTGTCCATGTATTTTTGTAAACAAAGTACAGTTCGCATTTATTACCCGATCCAGATGAACTTTTGCACAAATGATTTGTTTGGCCCAAGGACGAACCCTATTAAAATTGAAGATAATCGGCAAAAATTAAAATATGGCTCTTATATATATCTTCGTCCGATTTGCCTTTTATTGTGCACCAAACGTGTAATATCAGCCCGAATATTATGGAATTTTGCACATACAGCCAAATTAGGTCTGAAAATAAGTATGCTAAATTTGATCGAAATCGGTTCAGCTATATATATATTGTTCATCCGATTTGATATTTTTGTCCTCCGCTGCTGTAATATGTAATCTGTAACAAAAATATTTGGGGAAATATATCAAATGCAGCTCAGAAATACTTTTGCTAAATTTTATCAAGATCGGTTCAGATTTGGATATAGCTCCCATATATATCTTCGTCCGATTTACATTTTATTGTGCACCAAACGTCCAATATTTTCCCAAATGGGATGGAATTTGGCACTTACGACCGAATTGATTCTAGAAGCTAGTATGTCAATACGCTTTAATAATTTTGGACAACATTTATGTACAACAAGTAAAAAAATAAGTTCGGCCGGCCCGATCTTTTAATACCCTCCATCTTAGGGTAAAGAAAATATTAGAACAAATCATGAGCCACAAATACCAATTTTTAGCCAAATTCATGGGAAAATGTAGCAAAAATCATTAAAATACTAAATATAGGGAGGTACCGCTATATGAGGCTATACAAAAACGTGGACCTCTACAGGCAATGTTTCGCCAACGGAGCTGCAACCCATTAGGACCCACAAATACCAATTTTTAGACAAATTCTTGAAAAAATGTGGCAAAAATCATCAAAATACCGAATATCGGGAGGTACCGTTATATGGGAGGTACCAAAACGTGGTCAATAACAACCATCCTAGGCACAATACAAATTGTTCTGCTAAATTTTGACGCTTTATGATTATGCTTTAGGGTGACTGTGACGAGTATTTAGGTATGTTACAAACGGAATGACAAAGTTAATATACCCTCCGTTCCAAGGTGGAGGGTATAAAAACAATTGAAAAAAATCGTAAAATATAAAGAAAATTAGAATTTTGGTTTTCTCTAAAATTATCTATTTTTTGACAGCAAAACCTCGAATTCTCGCGCACATAATTGACGTAGATAGATAGATTTTAAGGATAATCATGTTTTTTAATTATTTATTAAGACGTAATAATCATGAATGTTTTAAATATGTTTATATATTTAGGTGGATACAAAGTGTTTCGGAATTCATTCGCATTGGACTATTCCTGGATTTCGATTCACAGATATCACCTAAAATTTTGCCTTGGTTGTACTATAACAACACTGTTCATTCAAAATATATTTTATTAAAAACTTTCTAAGACCGCTTAGAAATATTCCGAATTATTTCCCAACGACAAATATCTCCAAACATTACCTTCATTTTCTCCTTTTGAGCTATGTTTACAATGATACTTCTACTGAATCAATGGTGAACATTTTTTCGAATAATATTTTTTTCTAAATTTGATGTAATTTTAATTAATCTTGGACTCCATTAAAATTTTTGTAAATATTTGAATATTTTGTTCTTTATTAAATTAAGAAAAAACAATATTAACATGTATTTTGTGGAAATCATTTAAAGCTTGTACCCGAACACATTGAAAGTCGTCCAATTTATAATCCCGATAAGCCGGGCATTGAACAGGGTAAACTTGAAATGTGGGTGGATATGTTCCCCATGGACATGCCGTTGCCGGGACCCGCTGTTGATATATCACCAAGAAAGCCCAAGGCATATGAATTGCGTGTGGTCATTTGGAATACCGATGATGTGGTGCTGGAGGATGATGCCTTCTTTACGGGCGAGAAAATGTCCGATATTTATGTGAAGGGGTAAGATGAAACTCTCGAAAATAATTTTGCATTATTTATAATTCTTTAATTTATAGTTGGCTCAAGGGTCCCCAGGATTGCCAATCCACGGACATTCATTATCGCTCCCTTACCGGTGAGGGTAATTTCAATTGGCGTTTTATTTTCCCCTTTGAATATCTGGCAGCCGAAGAGCGCATTGTTTTATCCAGAAGAGAGTCTCTATTTAGTTGGGATGAAACTGAGGTCAAAATACCAGCCCGTTTGGAGTTGCAAGTCTGGGATGCAGATCATTTTTCGGCGGATGATTTCTTGGGTAACCAATTTTGAATATTTTCTAAAATTTTGTTTGGTAAACTCTGAGAATTTATTAATTGCAGGAGCCATATCATTTGATTTGAATCGTTTTCCGCGAGGAGCCAAATCTTCGAAGTTATGCACACTGGATATGCTCAAAACCGACAACATACCGACGGTGAATATTTTCAAGCAGAAACGTGTCCGAGGCTGGTGGCCATTCTATATCAAAAAACAAAATGAAGAAATGGAATTGACGGGCAAAGTTGAAGCTGAATTCCATCTTTTGACCAAAGAGGAGGCGGAACAGAATCCGGCAGGTTTTGGCCGCAATGAACCGGATGCTTTAGAGAAACCAAAGTATGCTATTTTTTCGATTTTTTTACACATAAGAAGAACATTTTCAACGAGTGTGTTGATATTTTTCCAAACGAAAATGTTTAGAAAAAATTCTCAGTGATTCCGTTGATTTTTTCTGTAGAAAAAATTTCTTATAAATGACCCTTTCTTTTTCAGTCGTCCCGATGCCTCGTTTATGTGGTTCGTGAATCCGCTCAAATCGATTCGCTACATTGTGTGGCACAACTACAAGTGGGCCATACTTAAGGGTCTGCTGTTCTGTGGTTTGGTACTATTCTTCGTTCTTTTTGTGTACTCAGTACCTGGTTATTCGGTTAAGAAAATTCTGGGTGCTTAAACATCCTTTCATTATGTTATTTTACAATCATCCATATATCTAATTGTAAGTATTAAAAGTTTTGATAAAAAGAAATTAAGGATTCGATTTTTAAGAAAGAGAATGAATGCAAAGAAAATCACTTGAGGGTTGTACCTGATTTTGTTAAAATTGTATGTTTGTATGTGTGTGTGTTTGTAAATTAAGAAGATGAAAAAGAAAATGCAATTGAATACTTTATAGTGTGTAAGCTATTACTAATGATAACGATAAGTTTTGACATACAAAATACTACAAAGCTGTAACAATGGGGTTTCAGGGTATCTGTACAAAGCAAATAGTGACCTTTTGATAGAACGAAACAAAAAGTGCAAATTAATGTCATTATGAATGTATGTATGAATGTATTTTGAAAGCAACTTAATTCACTTTCTAGTATTTCTATGCGCTCAAATAATAAATATTTTTCGATCAACTATTTAACTTTATAGTAACATTTACTGAATAAATAGAAATACATTTTAAGATTTATAGATTGCACAGTGTTACGAGAATTAGAATGAATTATGTGTATTTCGTAAATTTATTACATTGATTTTTTTTATTTAATTAAAAATTTAACAAATTAACCATAAGGCATGGTTCCTTTAGAAATCAACTTTGAGTTTTGCAAAGAAATCCTTAAGAAAGTTTTCAAAAAATGCATAATACCAGGAAGTATTTAAAAAAAAAAAATCTAGTTTTGTTTCTAGAGAATTTTTAAAATATTCCTAAAATATACTTTTTTTGGTCTGGACCCTTAATAAATGAAGAAGAATGTTGATTAAGGTTTAAAATACAATAAAGTGTGTGGATCCGATATATGGGGACCATACCAAAATGTGAACAATTCTCTACTATATATTGCGAGACTTTAATACAAAATTAAAACACCGTGGAAAATGTATGAAATACAAATACCGAATTTGATACAAATCCGATAGGAAATGTGGACCTATATAGACAATGATATGGCACAGGAGGTAAAACCCATTACACAACATAACACCCATTACACGACATATCTCTATACTAACCATCCTGGACACAATACGAACTATTGTGCCAAACGTCAATAAATGTGAATTGTATCGTAATGATAACAGACAGACAGACGGACATTGTTAAATCGACTTGGAATGTTGTGTTGTTCATGAATATATATAATTTATGGGGTCTACGACGAATATTTATATGTTTTACAAATGGAATGACAAATTTAATACACCCTCCTTTCCAAAGTGATTTTTACCAGAAAGTTCTCAAAAAAATTCAAATACTTAAAAAATCAAATTTTTGGGCTGGAGGACCTTAAAAAATACCTTAAAAATCAACTCAACTCATAAACGCCTCGTAAATATAAATGTGATTATTTGTCAGAAAGTTCTTTTAAAGGTCAGCATTTATAAACATATTTGTAAATCCACGGTCCCTAGTTCCATGGTTCCACTGGTTTTAATAAAGTCCTTGAAAAAAAATATTATTAAAAAATCCACTATTCTGGGCAGAGAAAACATATTTTGGAAATTTCTTGAACATGAAGTCATTGATTTTTAAATCAACGTTTCATAGATATGAAGTCCTTACAAATTAAATTTGCGACTCTTGCTCCTCAGGAAGTCATTAGAAACATTGTAGAAATTTGCGTTTCGTACCTAGAAAGTCTTGAAAATATATGAAAAAAATTAACGATTCTTTCCTAGAAAGAAAATATTTGAAAAAAAATATCCATCTGGGAAGTTCTTGATTTTTTTTTTTTCAATCTACGATTCTTAGTCAGTTTGGACTTGGATAATATATCTTGAAAATAAGTTTCAAAATTTAAGATTTCTGTATTGGAAAATATTTTAAAAGCCCACTATTCTTGCCTAGAAAATCCCTATTTTTATACCCTCCTCCACAGAATGGAGTTTGTCATTATGTCTCATGTTCGCTGTTCGCAATGGATACTACATATTATAACAGAACATTTTCTGTACAGACCCACGCCTTCGTATAGCCCCCATATAACGGTACCTCCCAATATTCAGTATATTGATGATCTGAACCTAATTTTTCTACAGAAGTATATTAATCTTAGTATTTGGAGTTCGTCAACAACACCACTTTCTCTAAAAGATAAATTGATGAAGAAGTCTCCGGTTTCGTATAGGTACCACACTTTACAAGAATTAATTCAAACTCGAAATGTAGAATTCGCAGTGGGTACTGATTCCTACGACAGAAATTTGTCCACACAAATTCACGTTTTCAAGTAGTCCCCCTGTAACAGTACCTCCCAATACTCAGTATTTTTATGAGATTGGCTACAATTTTCAATAGGATTATCTTGGTGTTTAGAGTTAGTAAACGGCATCACGTCCACGTCCACTTTCCCGTAGACCCCTAAAATTCGGAATTTTTAAAATTATATATATTATTTTCGACCAGATCTTTAACATTTTGTAAATTTCTACCGAATGGCACATGATATTAAAAGTTTGGCACGGTCGACGTCTTTACAAAATATTGAAAAAGCCCCCAATTCTTGCCTATTTTTAAAAATGACGACATTTTACCTAGGAATTCCACGATCAATATTTGTAAAATTCAATTTTTTCTTAAAAAATGTTTTAAAAACTTGATGCATTTTAGCCAGGAAATCATTAAAAAATATTTTTATTACAAATCTTAATATAAAAGTGAATCGGAAACACAATTCTCCTCGAGAATAATGCACCTTTCTTAATTTTTATACTAGGGCTCCAAAGATCTCTCGATATTTTGTTCCTTTATTATTATGTCTTTCATGATAGAATTTCATGATAGTTTGAAATTTTTGTGATACATTTATTCTTAAATGCTTTAATTCCCCTCTCTTTTTTAACTCTTTTTGAATCCGATAAAAATGCTGGTGGTTTGTGTCTTTGCTGGATGTTTTAAATTTGTCCCTACATACATTAAAAAGTCATGAGCTTCGGTTATTTCGGGATATTACAAACTATTAGCCTAAGAAGCTCTTTGGAAAAAGATCTTTTTAGAACTGCTTAGAAATATTAAAATAATTGGCCCGACACTATTATTGGAAGATTAAAATCCCCCTAATACTTAACGAAATAAAGTAAAACTATGTAAAAACCTTTATATGAACAAATATTTCAAAAGCGGAATTATATTTTGCCCAAAATCACCACAATCTCAGAATGTCTAACTTAGTCTTAAATTATAACCCTGGGTATATATCTATGTCAAACTATTTTTAATCCTCCTGTTATAACTATATATCCTCAAAAAATTATTTTTAAAATTCACTATTATCAGTCAGAATGTTCTTGAAAAATATTTTGCTTTAAATCCTCAATTTTTAATTAGGGTATCCTTAAAATGTTATAAATATCCATAATTATTAGTCAAGACCTCATTGAATTTTGTTTCAAGTTCACTATTCTTGCCTAGGATGTCCCTATTTTTTACATAGGAAGTCCTAAAAAGATATTTTGAAAAGGTCCACTATTCTTGCCAGAGAAGCTCTTGAAAAATATTTAAAAAATACAGAATTCATATTTATGAATTCCATGAAAAATATTTTTATTTAATATTTTTCAAAGTCTATGTTCTGGGCTAGAAAGTCCTTAAAAATATAAAATATATGCCATTTGGCCAGGTAATTCTAAAAAATATTTTTTCGTGATATTACAAACTATTAACCAGACTTTTCAATGTAGTAGTGTAAAATGATATAAATTGTGAGAAGTATATGGAAATAAAAATTAAAAATCCGACGAATACTCAACGAAATAAAGTAACACTGTGCAAAAAACTTTATTTGAACAAACATTTCAAAAGCCGTAATTATTTATTGCCCAAAATCACCGGATAAGAAATATGTCTAGGGACAACTCATTGTTTTAGAATTCCTTATTTAGTTTTCGTTTTAATCCCTGGGTATATATCTCTGGCAAACTATTTTACAATAATTTCCCACCTTCAAATAAAAGTTTAATTTTTAAACAGTTTTATTATATAATACCCAAAATATGAAAAATTATCTTAAAATATCCCACTCAAAACCAAATACAATCAGTCCATCACAAACAGATTGACGAAAACCTATACAATGTATTTGAAAACACAATCAAAATCCTTAATTTTATTATATAGTTCTAGGATATTAATTTTCACATAGACAAAAATCAAAATCAACAATCTCACAAATATTTTATTTTTAAGGAAAAAAATTAAATTTGTGCCACAAATATTACCATGTATTATATAAGAATGTATTATAAATTAATTTTTTGAGGAATGTTTTGAAAGCAAGTAAAGAGGCAAACTATATATTTTTGCATTTTATAACTAATATTTATTGTTATTCAAGAGTTTAATAATCGTAAATCTATTAAATACATCTCATTAATTAAAACAAAAAATTAATAATAGTTATATTGAAAATTGGTTTTTTGCTCAAAATAATCTTGAAATATTTCACAATCAGTACTAATCTCAACTATAAATTTAATAGATTTATCTTAAATAGTTTTCTTCAGTATTAAAGTAAAAAAAAAATTATATATATATTAATAATTGTTGTTAATATAATTTTTTCAATAAGAAAATGAAAAAAATGGTTATTAATTTGGTGTTTTATTATTCTTCATAACTATGCATTGGAATTTTTATGAAAATTTGTACTTGAAGGCAACATGAAGGTTTGGGAAATTCGCAACCTGAGTACAAAAATATACCGAGTATTTACTTCCTATGGCATGCTCATTTTAAATAAGGGCTAAGTCTGGAATTATTCTTGCCTATAAAGTCATTTGTGTTCAACCCCGTTTCATTTTTAAATCTTATATTCTGGGCTTTAATTGAGGAGTTTAACTTTGAAATATTTTTTCCGATTCGATTCCTATGAAAATGCATAATTTGTGTTCTGTTTTTGTGATAAATTTATTTTAAAATACAATAAATTGTTCTCTTGTTTACTACCTTGTTTACTAGAAAAAAATCGCTTGATTTGTGTTTTTCCTAATTAAATTTGTGATAATCGGTCCAAATTTAGATTCAGCTCACATATATATCTTCGACCAATTTTAATTTTATTGTCCGTCATACGAAATAATTCAACCTTCTCATAGACATGTGTCATCCGATTTAATATTTAAGTCTCTCGTAGCTGTATTATGCACTCCACAAAAATTATATTTCGTATGAGATATAAAATAAAATTTTGAAATACCTCTGCCAAATTTCATGGAGATAGGTTCAGATGTGGGTATAGCTCCCATATATATCTTCATCCCATTTGACATTTATTGTGAGCCATATGTATAATTTACATTTAGCCTGGAAGATGAATGAATTGAATATGGTAGAAATCTGTACATTGAATCTGCAGCTTCCAAAATATATGAGGTAGGAGGCACAAATGTCTTGGTGAAATTTAGTGGGAATCGAATCGGAGTATAGTTGTTTCTTTCGATTTCACTTCACATAAATTCCGATATACACGATTACGTGTAGCTCTGCTAAATATAGAGTATCATTACAAACTCTAAGTACCGAAGTTATAAACTCTAAGTCCGAATTTTGAACAATTCTGCTTGAAACTGTGCCTGAATATCGGAAGGGGCTGTGCGAAAACGTGGACTGACATTTCCCATTTACGAACTTAGCATGCCTATTGATAAATATGTTCGAAAGACAGCGTGATTATAACAGACTGACGGACATTGCTAAATCGATTTTAAGCTGATCAAGAATATATATCTACTTTGTTAGGACTATCATGAGGACATTGAGGAGTTACAAACAGACTTACAAAGATATTATATCCTCTATAGTAGGTATAAACAAGTTAAAAAAGTTCGGCGAAGCCGAAAAAAAATTCCTGTGAATAATGTCCCTAAAATCATCATAATAACGAATATAGGAAGATATTGTTATATGGGGGCTATAGGAAGATCTGGACCTGTATAAGCATCTGGACCTGTCACAGGCTGTAGTGCCCGTTACGAAGTGCAAAAACGAAATTTGAAACAATTCCGTTGAAAAATGTCGCTGAAACCAGTAAAATAGAGAATAAAGCGAGGTATTGTTATATGGGGGCTATGCGAAGTCCTGGACCTGCATAGACAATTTTCTGTCACAGGCTGAAGTACCTATAAGGAACTTCAAAAGCGAAATTTGAAACAATTCCGGTGAAAAATGTTTTTTAAATCATCGAAATGCCGGATATTTTGGGAGGTACCATTATATGGGGGTTGTAGAAAGACGTGGAGCTGCAAAGCCAATTTTCCGTCACAGAATGTAGTACCCATTACAAACTATCATTACAAAGTTTCTAGTTTCTACATGCTTCAATTCGTTCGGAAGCTAGAGGGATCTCAACAACCAAACAGACATACGGACGGTCATCGAAATCATAGAATTTTATGCTGATCAAGAATGTATATACTTTGTGTGGTCTAAAATGTATATTTCGAGGTGTTACAGACGGAATGACAAACTTAATATACCCTCCCTACTATGGAGGAGGTTATTACAAAAGGATTTCCTTACGGTCGTCAAGTGGATCGAAAACATGTTTATAATTAAAATATATTTTTAATTAACAAATAGGATGATTTTGTCTATCCCCTATTAGGTATATCTTCATATTTAAAGTGGACTAAAAACAGCGACAGCGAAATATGTTCTATGTTGGTTATTTTATTTGGGTATGTGATATAAACTAAAGCGCCATCTATTGGAACCGGGATGGTAAATCCAATGAAACTTTCTAACTGGTTTGGTACTTAGATAACTACAAATGTTTATCTTTTAATGATATTGAGATTTGGCTTACCTTGAGTTATTTTACAACAGCTAATCCTTGCTCCGGCGATAGATGCTTGTCCCTGCTACTGATTTCAAATGTTTTACACCAGTGTTCAAGTCAAAGAGTTCAATTGGTACAATGTTGATAAAGCTGTAGTTTATTCACGAACCGACTTAGTAAAGTTTTAATTTTTTTCTTACGAATTAATCGTCACGTATATTTTCCAATATCGACCAACTTCACTATATTTTAAACCCGAACCGAGAAACTATGGCTTTTCGACGATTCACTTCTTTTATTGGAATTGGTTTTTCATGTAGCAATGAATTTAGTATTTTGTCTTTAATAACGCAAAAGAAACTCACCTAATTCATAAACCCAACGAAAAAGCTTGCAATTTGGCGACTTTAATTTAGAGCCAATTCTTGCGTTCTGTTTTTCACATTTTATCACATTTCACAGGTCATCTGATTCACAAACCATATTAACGAATACTGTAACGAAATTTCATTGAAAAGCTCACTTTAGTTACAAGGCAAATACGAAATAAAGACTTCAACAATTTTTTTCAACGAAGTCTCAACATCATAAAAACACCAAGATGTTCATAAACATATATACCCGATCGAACCGCACAGTAATGAATAAATTACGACGCATTTTTCTCATTTTATCCAGTTTATTTTATAATGGCAACGATAAGCTCATCTTATTCACAAACCTTACAAGCAATATGTTTTTAAGCCCGAATGCCATAACGAAATCCAATTGGAAAAGCTCAATTGAATCAAAAAAAAAACTCGCGAAATCGTAACAACACTAAAAGACCGAAACGTTCTTTAACATTATGTACCCGAATGAAACACACACACGCGCACACACATACCGACGCATCAACAAAAATGCACTCATCTATTGTTGACAGGTTTTAGCAGAAGCTTTCGTTTTTTTTTTTTTTTTCTAAGACACCAACGCGTTTAAGCAACTTGCTTGAAAGGCCAATGAGACAAATCACGAATTCGTTGATATTAAACAAACAAAATCCAACTTGAATACCGTTTTTTGGAAACATATAAATTTAGATTCATAGTAATTCGTTACATTCTTCTGTTTTCTTATTCCACGTTTTTTTTTTTTTAATTGTTAACTCTTTACTATTTCCTTTACATTTTATCCATTTCCCGAAAACACAACCGTTCAAAGCTAAGCGCGCCGAAAAACTGAATTGTTGCAGCGTCTTTATGTCTGCTCTACTCCTTAAACTTCTTAAAGATGAGTTGGAGGGAGACAACCGTATAAATCTTCTCTCTCACAGTGATTTTCTCATGTGAGAGTATTGCTATAAACGACCCCAACATACCAAAAATACAATACAGCTTGAGAATAATATTATAAAAATAGTTTATCATAAGAATTTTTCAACAATGCTTGAGAAACACTTTTTTGCACAAACTTTTCTCAAATCTGTCCTTTGTTGACAAATTTGTTTTGATTTTTTTTTGTGAAAATTGTCAACAAAAAATTATTTTCTTTGGTTAAAATTAAAATCACGCGAATTTAGGACCCATTTCCGGACGAAACTCTAAGGTAAAGATGAATAATAAATCTGGGAATCTGTAGTATAAATTATTTCAATCTCATTTCAGAATGGAGGCGTCAAAAAGTTGCAGGATTTCAACAGAAGTGAAGAATAAGTGGAGGAGATACAGAAGCTCAAATAAGGGGAAAGAAAGCATCTAGGTATCAAGGCAACAGGATGCAGTGACAGCTGGGATGGCAATCAATGAATGAAATGTGTAAAATAATTAAAAAATGAATAAATAAATATTTTTTACCATTGAAAAAATAAGCTTTATAAAATATTACTTTCGTAAGCTTATTCTGCAATTACAAGAATAAGCTTATGAATAAGGGTTCCTTTTCGATTATTCTATAATTGTTAAACAAACATTTCTCAATACATTCTCAAGATTTTCTCAAGCTTTAGGCTTACGTTTGTAAGCTTATTAAAATATTATTCTCAAGTCAATTTGGTATGTTGGGACGATATTCATTTTAACACAAACACAGGCACACACAAATATATTGTGAAATATAAAATTTAAGAGCTTTTGACAATTTTTTCTTTGTTTTTTTAGATTTTTTTTGTTTATTTTTATTTGCATGTTTTGTTTATTAATTCGTTACACATACGCCTGCTTATTTTATGCCGTTTTGCCAATGATCCAAGTTTTATAAACACTTTTCCAATTAGAATTTACACTACCCGAGGAAACACGTCCGTCCATTTTAAAGTTCGCCGATTAACTGAGTGTGAGTGTTGTTTCAGACATTTTGGTGTAGCTCAGCAAAAAAAAAGAGGAAGTCATGGGAGTAAATGAAAAAAACATATGTTAATGTTCTCCTTGTGGGGGAAATGAGAACAACAACTTTGTTGTTCTAGGAGTGATGTCAATTTAGCGATTTTCTATCAATGAAGGAATCTGAATGACATTTTGAATATATTTTCAATATATTTTTGCTGTCAAAATACAGTGTTTTTATTAAAAGTTAATCATTAATATATCAGTTTGGATAAAAATATA